ATTTATATAGATATTCTTATGAATTTTCATAAAGCATTACTTCTTTGGGAAAACAAAGAGAGATAACTTTATAATTTGGGTAAAACTTGTGTTTTTCACTATAAAAATCAACGAAAACGGAAAATATATTTAAAAAATCTCCCCCCCCCCCTGAAACAAAAATTCCTTTTACAGGTAATATGTACTATCATTCCACAAATTCATACCAAAGCTCTTTGTGTTTCACGGGGGGAACATATGTTTACAGACAAAAAAAAACAACAACAACAACAAAAAAAAAAACAAAACAAACAAACAAACAAACAAAAAAAAAAAAAAAAAAACAACAACAACAAAAATGCGTAATTTTTGACCAATTTCAAAGGGTTTTGAACATTGTATTTTATTAATAATATATGTTTGATTTTATATGCGTAAAACATAAGAAAAGCTATAAGGAACATTTATTCATATCCAAGAATATTTTAAAATGTGTTGATGCTTTAAAGCCCGATTTCAATGGAAAATATCGTCTACCACCCTTATTTTAAGAGCTGGAATTAGGGGTAATTAACTATTTAACACTGGCATTAAAATTATCAGTCAATTACCATTGAACTGTTCTTTGCATCCAACAAAGATTTTACGGTCAAATTGCCATTAGTATTGAATTAAATGGGTGTAGAATGTATGCGGGAATCGAGAGTTAGCGTGCGTAGTTCTTAAGCGATCTTGCTGTGTGATACGACGTTTTAAAAATATGAGTTTTTAGGATAAAAGTAAACAAAAATCTTTTTTTCTTACATCAAAAATCCGACTTATAAGGAGTTATATAATGCATGTGTACATGATAATGTAGATTATACAACATTGTATTTATATAATGATCAAGGTAGGAGGGGGTATATTGCCAGTATTTCTATCACAATCGAAGTGCATCCCTAACAAAAATTTACTATAGTAACCTATAGTTAACTATATTTACTATTATTAACTATAGTAAATACTTTGATACTTTGATTAACTATGAAAGTTTGAAACTATTTTGAGATTTCAAAGCTGAAACTTTCTTGAAATTGATATCAGTAATGTAAAATTTTGGGATGATATGTTAATATACAAGAAATACGAGGGGTAATCAAAAAGTAATTGAATTACTTTTATAAAAGAAATAAAACCAGGTTTCAGTGTTTATTATTATCGGCGGCAGCAGCGGCCGATCTATTTGTGGTTGTGTTAGAAAGTGCACATGGGGAAATGAGGCGTTATTTTTTTCATTGCTTCGTTGGGATAATTCCTTATTGATAACATTAATAAAAGTTATTAATATTTTGTTTTTAATTGCTGAATACTAAGTCTAAGTGGTTGTTATTACTTTCAATTTATTTTTCATTTCTCATCAGATATTTATTAGTTATGATTTTATTAAAAAAAAAAATTGGTTTATGAACTGCTCCCCAAAGTGGGCGTGCGTAAGATATAAAAACAGTGAGTTTTGAGTTTCCGGGGATCACTTTCCGTCGTAACACCGGTAGAGGGCTGCTAATATGGACATGCAATCGGCTCTTAGAGCCTTAGAGTGGTGATTTTTTTCGAACCAGCACCTACTACGACACAACGGCACAAGTCATCGATTTAAATGGTCTCATCCAAAAACGGGCTCCAGATTCTGCAGTGGGATTCAAGCCAACAACGTAACTTTGTTTGTTTGTTGTTTAACGTCCCTCTCGATAATTTTTCAGTCATTTGGAGACGTCACCAATTGCCAGTGGAGAGTTGGAAATTTTGACCTCAGGGCCACTAAGCAGTGAGGGATCTTTTTCGTGCCAGCACCGACTGCAACACGGGACCTCGGTTTATACGGTCTCATCCGAAGGACCAGTCTCCAAGTCCAACAGTGGGATTCGAACCCGCGACGTAAGGATCAACTTCGTACCTAGCAACTCTAGGGCAGACTCTCTTACCACTGCGCCACGCGGGCGACTCCACAGCGTAAGGAACAACTTCATATTTCGCGACTCTTGTGCAAACGCCTTTTTAAAAAGATTAAACTTCAAAGTCAGGTGCATAAGGTGTACAGTTCTTCTTTAGGAAATTTGTTGCTTTAGAAAAGTAAACTCTAATGTGAAACATGAAGGTTATATTTTCTTAATTAAAAAAAGACAGATAGACGGACAGATTAAATTTGTTTCCCATTTTAATATTTTTCATGTGTTTTATACTATGCAATCCGACACCCTGTCTATTCTGACACAAAATTTGTCTCCCAGTGCAAAAATAAAAATGCACTATGCCTCGGAAAGGAATACTCGTAAGTCTCTGGATTTATCCTACATTTATAACCCAACCGGAAGTCAGTGTATCCAATTCGAAGTCTTATTTTGTATCGAAATAATTTTCGAGGAAGAAATGAGTGGTTTACAATAAAGAGGCTCGACCAGAGACGTCCGGAACGATTAACTTGTCAAGAAAAAAAGTCTTTCGAAGCGAACGATGTCATTTTAAAGTAGGTTAATGATTGATATATAAACAAAATACGAGCTTGAAGCGGGGGTGCCTGAAATTAAATTGAGTTAGGTACCCTGTGGTAAAAATAAGTAGGGGTGCCCCGTTTACGAAACAAGTGCCTGTGAAGTCCCTGGAAGCTGGTGCATTTTAGACAAGTGACAATATAATTAAAATGGTTTATAACATTTTGAAGCATAAAATGTTAAATTTTCTTATTTTTTTTCTCAATATTTTTGTTGTTATCATTCATAATATATATTGTCATAAATGCGTTTTCAGCGAGGAAAAAAAAAATTAAGGACGACACAGCAGCAGTTCTCCCAGATGTCCTTATTATTAGACTGTTATAGACCTATATGCATTTTACATATATTCAATGTTATACATCTTACATTAAGTATGTATTATCCTTTATAAAATGCTTTTGAAATTTCAATCATACATGCATGTTTTCATGAACTTAAGTCTTATAAATTATATATAGAAATAATAATCCTAAATTATTAATATAAATTGATAAATTAAAACATTAAACATATAATGCAATTTTTTTCTACGGTTCAGTATTTTCTTCGGAGAGTGTTTTAAATCTATTTGTGAAAAGCATTTTAACTTTTTATGAATTCATTTTTCTCCACCGAACAATGTGGAAGCATGTGCTTCCGAGCTTCAATGGAAGCTACGCCTTTGAAAATTGTCCGACTTTAGATCGTGTCAGACTCTAGATCAGTTTACCCTACTGAAAAGGGACTTACTGACATACCTTTGCTATACATTTGATCATAAATGTCATTTTTTGTAGTCGTTGTACTGGCCGATCAAATCTGACAGATGAATTAGGTTTACAAGGATTTTTCAACAGATGTATATAGTGTATCACATATAAACAAAATACGCATCATCAGAAAACGCTTTGAAATCCTACTAATATGATGTCAGTGATTTATGTTATTTGTTTCTATTTCGTACTAAAGTACAGTTTTGGATATAGTCCCAGTGGACACTTTACGGACCAGGACCCATTGACGTGCGTTAATAAGGTAAACGTTTTTGTTAAAAGAAAAAAAAAATGGTTAAGAGGTTATTTCTTCTTCTCATATGAAAATACGGTATTTTAATAATGCATAATATCAAATATCTGCTGCGGTCTAGTGAACATCAATCAGAAAAAATCTTACACTTAATAAAAATGCTATGAAATTAGCTCTAATTTCCTCGACAAAGCATTTTACCGAAAAATAAAATCGTCCATGAACTTAGTGCATAAAACGCATATTTTTTATTACGATTTCGTTATAATAAATCGTGAAACAGACGTTCTCAAAGACTTGTTACAGTAGGTAATGGACTGCCCATGGTGTATGGGGCCCAGGGCTTTCTACATTTCATTAAGAATAACGTTCGTCTATCATTTAGTGGAATGTTTACTGACGTTCTTCAGACCTACTGTTAAGCAATTAATTACACACTTAACTGTCTACGGATTTTTTTTCCGTTCGCCCGATCATGACAAGGAAAACAGGGAAGGTGTAACATGTCAATAAAGCATGCTTACTCCTTGGTACCCGATCCTGATGTTCTCAGATTTCCGTGTTTGCTCTGCTACCAATTTGAATTATTTCAATAGATCTTTGAGCTCGATTAGACTAAGGCATAACCGTTACTTCAGTAAGTAGTTGACACTTTGAAGGAAAAATTGCGAATCTTTCTGATGTGAAACCGATGTCCATTTAATAACATGCCTTGGAACGACAGAGGTCGCTCCCTGCTTGTGACCCTTAGTGTCGTCATCATATCTAAATTTGAGCCCATTCACCGGCAAAATGTTTGCGGAATCTTGTTAGTGCTCAACATTTTTTTTTTCTAATTTCGTCCGCGAATGTTCAAGCGTATAACGGAACAATCTTAATGCAATTTTACAGAAATACTAAGTACAAAATCAATGGGCTTTCTGAATTCTGAACTCTCAATATGCTCACCGTTTACATAGACAAACATCGATATGTTAAAACTTCTTTAATCAAATTTTCTCACTAACTGCCAGGCCTATTCTTCTGGGTTTCTTCTGTAACCTTCTGAATCGCTTATAGGAATTTAGAACGTCTCAGAAAAAAAAAAAAAATTTTGTAATATAGATTCTTCCTTGGATCTTAACAAAGTCGTTCTTCCACGTTATTGTTATCGGTTGGGCACAATTTTTAATGTCGCCAATAAAAGTAGAAAAATTAATTTAATAATTACGGAAAAAAGAGTCATATGACCTTGTCTTTGAAAATACCTTGCTAACTTTGTGGCTATTTACTTACCCTGCAATCATCTCCATTATTTCAATGTTGGGATCAATTCAATATACCCGATTACTTTCTTGTTTTCTTTTGATATATCGAAAAGAAATATTGAGGATATTCAATATAGTAGAAACATTGTGCTATTTTCAGGAATTTATTCAAGCATATCCTAGAATAAGAGGACCACGGTCCGTGAAAGATAGAATTGCTATTGTTGGCGCTGGACCTGCTGGACTACATATGGCCTTTGAACTGAAGGTAGGAACATACACCGAAATAAGCCCCCCCCCCCCCCCCATCTTTTATCTCTACGGTTCAGAATCGAAACAACTCACTTGACAATATTAGACACTGACTGCAATTACTTTTCAGTGTAACAAGGTTACAACTTACACGCTAAGTAATGCTTTCAACGAAACGATTTATATTCTCTATATTTTGGTGTAGTTAATGGATATAACAAAGTAAGTTGATGATGAATGCAAATTTTTTGTCCTTTTCACTGTGCTTTTAGCATGACATGCTGTATAATGATACATACATTTTTTTTTAAAAATATATTTTTTATTATCTTAGAATTTATTATTTTTTTTGTAAACAGAAGCAGGGATTTCAGCACATTGTGATATTTGAAAGTCGAAATGAGGTTGGCGGGAAAACCGCCTCCAGATTTTATCGGAATGTTTGGCACAATCTTGGGGCTGTTGGACTGACAGAAAGCTATGATAAAACTGTGGAATTACTAGAAAAGTTTAATACCGGGTTTGAAATACGACCCGAAATCCCAAGCTACACATGGCTTAATAGAAAAGGTAAGATCAAATCTTGGAACAAAGGATAACTGCACTTAACGCCGGGTTTTGGGTCTTTTTCGGTCGCTTCTGTTGCTTTTATATCTTAACCTTATTTCACTTTTGTATATTTACTAAAGAATTCTGTCAATTTGGCACCAAAATTTAAATGTTTAAATGATTTTAGACTGTGATACAATAAAATAATTCTATGAATTTTTGTCCTTACTGTTTTTAAAATATAGAGAATTTACACTTACCTGCCCTTGATTAAACATTAGATATGCATGAGAGGTGGAGTTAACATTGTAAGAATGGCTCTAAAATTAGACTAGATAAATAACAATGACATGTATAAAAATACGAGATTACTCTTTCTCATCTCCCCCTTTATTCTGTATGGCACAATTACACTATTAACAAAGGTTTCAAAACGGAATTAACAATATGAGCACGTCCATGTAAGGAAAGAATACTTTGAATCGATGCCTGACAATTCAACGTGTTCGAGCACAGTGTCCTAGTTAGAACAATACATGTTACCTTACAAGTCACGTGACGGAATTTAGTATTCACAGAGTAATCACGTGGGGAATTATAATATTCAACATGCTATAGCCCTTGGTTACAACAGAGAGGGCGAATGTAAGAAGAAGCAGTTTTTTTCTCTTTTAAACCATGAGCGCATGTTTGTCTATTGATCTCCTTTTGACACAACATTATTAATGCAAATATACAACTACTGTTAAACGAAGAACAATAGACAAACATGCGCTGACTATGTATAAAGTCAGTGAAAAAGTGGGCGTCCTCATTATCGTACGGAGATTCAAGAAATTGTGGTGACCCCCGCCTTTGAAAACAGCTTCGTACTTCGTAAATATATATACTTTTATTCAATGTAATTACGTAAAGTTGTAGATTAGATGTTGATCGTTTCTGCAATTAAAAGAAAAATGCTTGTTTTGAAAGTTTATTTTGTCGCAATTTTGGCATGTCCTTAAGTGCAGTCATCCACTGTGTAACTTGGGCTGCCGGTTTGTATTCAGAATGGGATTTTAGTTGGGAAGAGTAATATTATTTGTATTATTTGTACTCATATGTAGAAGCCACCACTTGCCTGGTCGCCACGTCTCACACTCGGATTTGAACCCGCTACGTAAAAATTAACTTCTGCGACTCTGGAGCAAATATTCTAACCACTGCGCCGCACAGGCGACCTACTAGAAGTGTATATCTCTATAAATGCGTCTATGCAGTATATGTTTATACTAAAACTGAAAATATTAATGTGACCACTTGTTTTCCAAAGACTTTCCTTTTGCTTTGAAATTGGACAAAACCTTGCGTCTAAAGGTCATTTGTTTTATGTTTTATTCAGGACAAGTTCTATTAGTGAATTATTCCCATTAATACATTTTTTTTTATCATAATTCAAGAACAGAATAATACGCAACATTATCTTTACGTAATTTTATATCCCGAGAAAGGTTGATTACTTTGTCATGCTATTTTAATAGATCAAATGGTTTTAAGAAACATGCAATATTCTGCATGCTTAAAAGCTCACGGTCTCTCCAATTTGTGTCAGTATTCGTCCAGCTACCTACATGTAAGGCGAGGTCTGATCCCATGACTTTTTTCATTGCAAACCCTTAATGCGAAATCATTACCGAGAACGTCATTCCACTTCGTTTAGATCTGTCGTTTCTCTATTACATGTTCTGTGGAGTGACCAAGAATATGAGATATAACATGTTCTACATTGTCTCCAATCTACTGCAGAAAATTTCTTCTATTTGTACCGTTCACGGTAGCTCAGTCGGTAGAGCGCTCGCTCCGTGATCGGGAGGTCGTGAGTTCGAATCTCGGCCGCGACTGACCTAAATCGATAAAAAAAATGGGTAGTAACTGATCCTTCGCCATGCACTCGGCACTTTGAAGTGCAAGTTGTGGGTCCTTCGGATGAGATCTTAAAAACGGAGGCCCCGTGTCAAGGCAGGCGTTTGAACTGTAAAGATCCCTCACTGCTCAATGGCCCTGAGTGCCGAGTAAAGGTCAAAATTTGAAGCCCTTCACCGGTATATGGTGACGTCTCTATTTGAGTGAAAAATCCTCGAATGGGACGTAAAACAATATACAATCAATCAATCAATCAATCAATCAATCAATCTTCTATTTGCTTTTTCGAATCTGTGCTACGACCCATGTACTTCGAGCATCTATTGAGGATAGGTTCATAGGTTAGGATAAAACACAGATAAAACAAACAGTAATGAAGCTCAAAAGTCTTCTGATGCAATACAGATTTGTAGCAGAGTAAGCACGATTCAGTGTAAACAGTAGAAGTCATCAGATGTCATGGAGGAATGAACACACCTGTTAACCTGTCACTACCGCCGCGTGCTCCATGGCATGATCGAGCAAGCGGGAAAATCCATAAACAATTCAGTGTGTAAATAATGGCCCAACAAATCGTAAAAATCATGTATTAATACAAGATCTTTCAAATCGAGGAACCTACAATGATCCTTTTTATTATGTGCAAAAAAAGTTGCAATGTCAATGAGTTTTAGTTCCTAATTCCCATTCCGCCTTTTGTAGAATTCACATCCAGCCTAGAAGCTGCACAAGTTTCAATACCGAGATTGATTCAGGCGTCAGAGCGTTACAGTGCTCTTTATAGGTGTTTCTTTGGAACGTTTAAAGGAGAAATAATGCCAAGGCCATCTCCAGAAGTTTTATATAGGGTAGGTAAATTTATTATAATTGCTATTTATCCTGATAGAAAAAGGGACTGCATTGTTCATATAGAAGTAATAAAATATTGTCATATTTAAAATGTAGAGTGCCAAGAAAAAATTTTTAATCCCTAGTGTCTTAGCCAAGAAAATTGATATGTTTTCAGTATTAGTGTATTGACTTGATGCTGTGTGTAATGAATATTTCAGGAATTTGATAATTAAAAAAATTAACACAACAGTGATTGATCTCCAAAAATCTTTAAAATTTGGAACAAGGCAGGTGCCAAGCAGTAGTAAGCAGCCCTTGCATCGAATTTTTTTTTTATCCTTTCATCTCAGGTTCAGGATTAGTATGCATAAAAATTCTGAGAATTTTCTTAAGTATATGTTTAAATTTCTTAAGCATCTTCTTAGCTGAGTTACATGCTTTATTTCCGTGGCATAAAACTTTTAAGCAACATGCTTAGCAAAGAAATGGTATTATGAAAAATATCATTCATATTTATTTAATAACTCACCTTCCTGCTGTAACTATTTTTTTTTTTTTACATTTTGATCGATTTAATTGATCAAAATATTTTGTTTGATATCGATGACATGTTTATATTATCATCTACTCAGACAAAAGAGAGAGAGAGAGAAGAGAGAGAGAAAAAACAATGAAAAAACTATGGAGGATGTGGAGAAAATTGGCATAATTGAGAGGGAGAGCGAATCAAATTGAATTTTGAAATTAAAATTATTTTTCATAGAATTAGAGGACATGGTAAACACTTTTTCCACCATGAATTTAGGTTTCGTTTCGAATTTGTATATAGAATCTCGTGTAATATTTGGCGCTTTTTCTGAAAACAGTCATTAAATCTCTCTCTCACGTTACTTAATTAATCCACGATTGGGATGCTAATTGAATGATTGTATAAATTATATGTAATATGGGATACATGTAAATCAAATTCTTCTGAAAATGTAAGAATAATTTAACATAACTAGATGTACATCGCACTAGGAAACCCAAAAAGGGCTTTTCCGACTACACTGCATTGTCACAGGTGCTGGACGTTGACAAAACTACGCAACAATCAAATGACGTCATATTTTTAACCGCTTTGATAATAAATCGCTATAAAGCATCTTGTAAAGTATATGAATGCCATATAATAATGTAGATACATGCAGATTGTAATTGATTTCATTGATTTAATTACCTCTTCATATTTTTATTTCATTTTTTGTAAATTTCCTTTAATTATATTTGTTCCTCTACCTCTTTGAAATATCTTAAACAAGATGCTTAAGAACTAAAGAAAAGTAAAGACCATGTTTTACTTTAAGCATATGCTTAACATCTACTTAAGAGTTGAGAAGTTTTGTGCAACATGCTAAGCAATATGCTAAGTAAAGTTCCAATCTATTAGGCAGAAAAACAGTACTTAAGTATATGCTTAAGGACTTAAGAATTTTTATGCATACGAACCCAGGTCTAATGGTAGAAAGCAGGGATTCGTTTAATGACGAATAGTTTGTCAAACGTTACACTTCTTATTCTTCTTTATAATTAGATGGAATTGAAGATATTTCACTGTGGATAAATCAACGGGGACCTTAAAAAAACTTTTGTATCGTACCCGTGTGTTTAGGTAGTTACATATATTTAAACTACCCCTAACAAAAAATTACTGTAGTAAACTATAGTTTACTATAGTTAACTAAAGTATCAATGTGAAAACTTTGGAACTTTGATTTACTATAGTGAAAACTTTGGAACTTTGATTTACTATAGTGATACTTTGGAACTTTGATTTACTATAGTGATACTTTGATTAACTATAGTAAAAACTTTGAAAATTTGATTTCACCCTCCCCCCCCCCCCCCATTATGGCATAATGAGCAAAGAATTATCAAGATATTTTAATGAGTTGTTAATCTATTGTGAAAACTTTGAAACGTTGATATGATGTAGTGCAAACTTTGAAACTTAAATTGACTATAGAAAAAACTTCGAACTTTGGTTTGCTATAGTGAAAACTTTGGAACTTTGAATTACTATAACGAAAACTTTTGAACTTTGATAAACTATAGTTAAAACTTTTGAACTTTGATTCACTATCATAGTAAAAACTTTGAAACTTTGATTTACTTAAGTTAACTATAGTAAACTATAGGTACCTATAGTTTACTATAGTATTTTTTCGTTAAGGATAACATAAAAATTTCATAGACGCATCTCCCTTTGTAACCTAGTAGTTGGTATATCAAAAAATGAGCATGAAAGTTCCAATAAGCTTCTATCGTACAACAAACGTTAATCATTTTTATGTTGTTTGTTACCTGTTAAGTGTCCCTCTTGAAAATTTACACTCATATTGAGACATCACCATTTGCTGGTTGAGGGCTGAAAATTTAGACCTGTTTTCAGCGCTTGAGGTCCTGAAGCAGGGAGGGATCTCTTTAGTACCAACACCTACTGCGACACGGGTCCCCAGTATATACGATCAAATATGAGATAACGAACATTAATGAAGCTGAAGGGTCATTAAAACAATACAAAACGGGAGCAGAACAAACATCAAAGGTTGTCTTGTATTATCCGAAGGACCGATCTCCACGTTCTGCACTTGGGTTCGAACCCGCGACTCTGTGATTCCGGAACAAACGCTCTATCCAGTCGCCAACCAGGCGCCGTTTGTTTGTTGTTTAACGTCCCTATCGAGAATTTTTCACTCATATGGAGACGCCACCACTTGCCGGTGGAGAGCTGCAAATTTTGTCCTATGCTCGGCACTTATGGCCATTGAGCAGTGAGGGGTCTTTTTCGTGCCAACACCTACTGCGACACGGGACCTCGGTTAATACGGTCTCATCCGAAGGACCGGTCTTCACGTCCCACAGTGGGATTCGAACCCGCGACGTAAGGATCAACTCCTTACCTCGCGACTCTAGAGCAGACGCTCTAACCACTGCGCCACGCGGGCGACGCTAGGCGCCGTAAATCCATGATAACTGTGATTGTTTGGTCTTTCCTCTTCTTTTAGATTCGTGGGACGGTGGATGACTTCCTTTTGAGATATAACCTTACAGATCTACAGCCACTTTTCTTTATTGCATTAACCTTAAATGGATATGGTTTTCTGAATGAGACATCGGCGTTTTACGGCCTCACGTTTTTACCTCCAGTTGTGATTAATTCCTTCTTCAAACCTGAAAGGGGAGCCTATCGCCTGATTGGGGGCTGGCAGAACTTATGTCGTAACATTGCTGAACGAATTGATGTTGAAATTCGGTTAAATGTCGACATTAAGCATATTCGAAGAGGAAAGGCTGTTCAAATATTTTACAGGAATAAAAATTCTCTTGATGTATTAATGGATAAATTTGACTTTCTTATTCTCACCCCATCGATGAATTCATTATTTGGCATTATGGATTTTAATCAGCAGGAGTTGAGAATTTTCAAACATCTGCGACATTTATATATTCTGAAAACAATTGTTAACTCCATTTCTCCTGGTAGAAGGGCCCTTTCTCCACTTGAAATTTTTCCGTATGATTTTCAAAATGTGGAATATTCAGTTTATCGAATGATAAACCCACATCAAGCTGTAAATAATGTGACCGGACGTGACTATCAGCTAGGAAGCAGAGAAAACACCGATAAAGATGGCAGCGTTTACGAAACAAGCGTCTATCTCCAATTAGGAAAGGCGAGTCCCTGGAACAAGTATGTAGACGCTCATATTCAAAGAAAACTTTTTCAACACCTTAGAGATTTCAACAAAGCCAATCCTCAAGTTGTGCAACAGGTGAAATGGGGATATTATTTTCCAAATTTTCCATCGGAAGCTATAACCGGTGGTGCAGTGTGGGATGTATTGGACATGCAAGGAATGTATATCACGTGGTATATTGGGGCCTCTGTTTCGTTTGATGCTATAGAAAGTGTTCTTGAATATAACCATTTGTTGTTAAAACTTTTCTTCAATAAGCAACCTGAATTTTAAAGAAAAGGGTATCAGTCTATGAATAAAAATTCCTTTAAAATAAATACAACACTATTTATTAATAATTTTATTCTTTGGACAAAGGACTTGACGTGGTATTAGAATAAAATATATTGTTTTAAATAGTTGAAGTCATATATTTTAAGTGAACTCAAATTAGAAATTCTCTAGTAAAGCATATAAAGCATACTAGATGTTGAATTTCTACGGTTTGTATGACTTTTTTTTTACACAGGATGTCATACTCAGTGTATTAATTGTAAGCGGATTAAAATTAAACAATATTCCTGGTTTCTGCTTTATAAATGAAGTTTTTTGAATTAAGAAACATGTAAATAACGTTGCATGTATATTGAGTTCGTCTAAATAAATTTAATTTTCCGTGCCACTGAAATCTCAGGCACATGCATTACTTTGTTTAAAAAGCATACCCCCAACCCTGAAATTCGATCGCTTTTATAATATGTATGCAATGCAAGGATTCCACAAATGGGAGTAGGGAATAAGTTTGAAGTATTAAACGAGATCTTACAGAAAAAGAGTAACAAGATGGCCAAGGGTCTCAACGCTCAAATGAGTAACAAAGACCTTTCCGTTCTTCATCTGAAGATTCTTATTCCCACATATCCTTATGTAGAACGCATATCTTTTTAGAGCTAACTCCAGTGAGTCATGATTTGAACAAACTACTTCCTTTGGGTGCTTTCATATAAATATGCCTGGTCATGGTGTTGCCGTTCTTTAAAAGAAGGTTTTAAATATATCTATTTGTAAAATGTGGATACAATGTTATGACCCTAACCAAGTTCCGGGCGCAGCTAAAATAAGGCTGTCCGTAAAATATCAAACTGTTCCACTTTTGTGAACTACTTGAATATGACGTCATAATAGCACATGACGTCAGGTCACTGCATATTTGAGCTGACATGACGGAGAAAGTGTCAACACTTTTACATTCCTTTCAATGACATGTAGAGTTTTTTTTGTGTTGTTGTTTAATACAAGTGTCTGGATAGTTTCTTAAGCTACAATGTGCTGTTATGATGAATAAGATTTGTCACGTTGACAGAAAAAAAAGAAAAAGTGAGAGATTTGCAGTCGGTGGGGTATCGGGAGAATGACCATTATCTGACTTCGGTGAACAGATGGTATTTGCTGCTGGTAGGTCGAAAATGTCCACTGCTGTTGGAAAGTTAATCTGCCTTGAATCTATTGTTGGTTGTATGCCCTCTGTGTTGATGTTAAGTTCATCTGTTTCTGTTTTTCCCCAAATTTTCCTGCAAATACACTGTAACATGCTCTTCAAGATATTGAACTGCAATGTCAAATTTGAATTCGTTCCCCTAGTATGTCTCGTTGGAATCAAGGAATCTTATATTACTGTAGTATTCATTATTATTGTCACCGTGGTGACAAACGAAGCAAAGATGGTTTTTGTTGCTGGATTTTTTTTTGTTTGTTTGTTGTTTAACGTCCCTCTCGAGAATTTTCTCATTCATATGGAGACGCCACCACTTGCTGAAAGGAAAGCCGCAAATTTTGACCTTATTTCAACCAATGTTGACACAAAGTAAGAGTATTCTAAATTGTGAAGAGGAAGCCCATCCCCCCAACCCCCTCAACAAAGGGGAAATGTCCAAGTCTATTAGATATTATTGATGTGATCACTGTTGAGCACCAAATAATTTATTAACCTGTAGACTTTATTTTTAGAATGATGAATATTTGTTTAAGAGTCCTTTTGTCATGGTTCAAATTAAAGTTGAATCATTGAAAATATTTTGAGATATCTGAGGATTCAAGATATCAGGAGTAAAATACTCAAAGAATACTTCCAAATTACTTCGACATATCTATGGTATTCGAGTATTAAATATTATAACTTATTAAAACTTTCTAACATTTCAACATGTTAAAAGAAACAAGCCAAGAATGAAAATTAAAAATAAGGACATGCACATTTACTGATTTCTGGCTGGTCAGTATTTTGATGACTTTCATTTCTAAAAAATTCAGTGAAACACTGAAGCTTTAGATATAAATATATGTTTAGTTAACTAAAGATACTATTTGGTACGGGTGATATTTATAAATGAGAAGTTTTGAATAAACATTACAACATGCATGTATGTGAACTGGGGTTAAAATTGGTTAATGGCTATCGCCTTAATTTTCAGTGACATAAAACAAGATTTAGAATGTAGGTAAATAATATTTGTCTAGTATGTGTCTGTACATATGATGTAGCATATAGAACTTGTACTGAATGTTGATTATCTAAATCTTGATTGGCTGTTATGTTGGTTGATGAAATTTAGATTATTTGTATGTAAACTGAGTGTACATGCAATATGAAATTATTCATAAGGTATTAAACATGATTAAAGCATGTGTATGCAATGCAAGATATGATGTATTCATATTGAATTATACAGATATACATGTAGCTTTACATATATATATGCATTGTTTTTTAGGTCCTGTTCTGTGGATGCCATGAGATGATCTGTCTTTCCATCCGATGTCACTTGTCCTGAGTATATTTTCTCTCCTCTTAGCCCAATCTCACTCAAGATTAACTTAAAGAGTGCCTGTGGATAGAGGGTAAAAAGTGACATTGGACCAATTATCTAGATCAAAGGTCAGTATCAGAATACACTGTATATCTTGTCCAGAGCATAATTGTTCTCCCTTGGTATGATCTGGCTTGTGTGTCATGGGATGAAGGGTGTATAGTGATCTTTATCCAATTTTCTAGGTCAAATGTCAATTAAAAAAAACTCTTTGTAAATATCCTTGTCTGGAGCACATTTCTCTCCATTTCACTCAACTAAAAGCAGTGTTCTATGAGATGGTTATATTCTCAATCATATTATGTATCGTTCATTATTCTGATTTCATGGTCATTAAATCTAAAGACTGAAACTAATCACCAATATTGTTACATTAAAAGACATTGAGTGATCTTGTCAGATTTCTTAATAATATTCAAGCATACAATTCTTACATCAAATAATAATTTTGTATGAAAACGTGTTGCAGATTGCAGATGATGTGAAGAAAATACAAGGGATTTAATGGACTTAGATGTGAAAGACTACTACATTGTTTACCTAAGATATATAGTTTTATTAATTGTGATTTAATTTTAAAATAATATTTTGTACATAGATTATTAAACATATGATTTGATAATGCTATTTCTTTTTATACATTTTCTTAAAAGATTTTGAAAAGAAAACACAGTTTACCAAGGAAATTAATAATATATATTTTGATTTAAAACTGCTGTTCTTTTTTCACATTCTAGAAAAGAAAGATTTACCATGGAAAATACAGGGATCCTTGAGCTTACAGTTGCTTGTCAATCATTTCCCAAAATTGAAATGCTCGACCTGCCCTCTAGTTTACATGGTATGAGAACTATTACACCACAATTCCACATTGCTTCCCTCTCAGAAAAATAAGGGAATCTTGAAGATTCCCTGTAATTTCCTTTTAAGGAACACCAGATAGTTCCACCAAGTTTCCATCACACGGAAACCGCTACGTTCCAATTCCATGTAGTTTCCTGAGTCATGGAAACTTGAGGAATCGTGAAGTTTCCTCTAGTTTCCGTTCATGGAAAACCTGAGGATTCCAACCAGTTTCCCATTCCATGGAAACCACTACGCTCCGATTCAAAGTAGTTTCCTATTTATGGAAACCAGTGGAATCTTCAGGTTTCCCATTACTGGAAACTACATGGAGGCTCGAGAAACTTCAGGTTTCCTGAGTTTTCCGTGGTTTGAGATAATGGAATCGGAGCGTAGTAGTTTCCGTGCCACGGAAAATTGACGGAATAACCTGGCATCAACTGCGGAAACCACTAGGAAACATGATGTAAACTTGAGTTTTCCATGTGTTTTCCATATGGTGTCTCATGACGGGAAACTGCTATTTCACCTTGTGCTCATATTTTTACCAACATTGAAGATTCTTTGCTCCTCATATATTGAGACAAGTTGCTGTCCTTTAAAAAAGGACTGCAATACGTGGACCATATGCATGTGTTTCTAAACAAAATTCAACGAAAATTCTAGATTTAGTGATTTTTACAAAGGTATAATTATATTTATTTTTTTTTACATGTATCTTATAATTTTCATCGTTATTTAAGTCTGCTTAATTAGGCTGTAATGGTAAAAAAAATCATGACCTTGAAATGATATGAATATGAACTGTTGATCTAGGTATATATCACAATTGTAATGTAGCCTTTAAAATTAACAACAGAATTAAAAGAGGCTTAAGCGTGCAGGTATCGTAATGGTTGAATTTTAACTCCATTGGCGGATCCAGGGAGTGGGGTTCCGGTGTCGGAACCCCCTTTATTTTTGCAGAAAGAGGAAGAGAGAGAGAATTTTTCTTCTGTAATATAGATATTTTTTACGTCTAGTATTTTCAGTAAAATAAGTACTTCAGCCTCTGCCCTTTCTGCTCTCTAGATATGGAGTTTTGCTTATTGCTTTCCTCCGTGTACCTCCACAACCCCGGCCCCGGGCCTCGACCACCCACACGATTTCACTTTGATATCATCGGAAGATTCCGGCGAACGTACAGCTATGCCATTTTTGGACCATCTTCTAAAGTAACTAACTTTAAGAAGTATGCATAAAAAGTTATGAAAGGGAGTATCCATAAGAGAATATTTATCTCCTAATATTATGGGGATATTTTAATCAATGAAGAGAAAGGTTCAAAATGTCCCCGTAGTATGTGGTGGTAGTGGTGGTGGTGGTGGTGGAGAATCACTTTTACTATTAAAAAGAATAATCTTTTTTTTATGATTTAAAAATATAAGTTCTGATTTGAATTGGAATCTCCCGTGCACTTCTTGTTGCGGAAAGGTTCAAATACGGAAAATCAAACATTTAAAAGAAATCAAAATGTACCGAAAAGTTAGACGAAGCCCCCCCCCCTCCCCGAAATAGGATTTTACAGTGTGGTGCACAGGTTGT